CCAGTATTAGATTCTGCCTCACTGCACACACAGTGTCGCCCAAAGTTCACTGAGGATGTTGTGGTCACAGTGTTGGTCACGTGTTAGTAAAGAAGTGAGAATAATTTAAGTCACAAGTCTGAAAAAGCCAACACTGGATGAATGCTTCTCAAACTTGATGGCCTACCAGAATCGCCTGGGGAGCTCATAAAATACAGTCACAAACTTCAGTCCAGAAGCTTCTAATTTAAAAGGGCTAGAGGAGGAGGCAGACGGCGGAGGGAAGAAGAGAATCTCTTTTTTTCAACTCCTTGGATGACTGTGATTCCAAGCCAGACTTGGGGCCTTTCTGATTCTGCTTTCTAGACTTTTATGCACTGTGGCAGCAGGTGAAGTCAGACCTGCAATTTTATTCAACATCTACCATCCACCTCTCTGACGCTCACTCTCCTTACAAGTAAAGCGGAGATAGTAACATTTCTATCACAGAGTATGTGTGAGCATTAAATGAGATGCTGTAGCCATGTGTTTATTTAGCACAGCACCGAGCACATAGTAGATACTCAATAAATCCTCATTCCCTGTCCTCTTTTACATAAATTAAGGCTATACTTGGATTTTTTTTTTAATGAATGCAGAGCAAAACTCCACACGTGGCTTATGATTCTAGCAGTGCTATTCCAAGGTTCAGGAGAGTCTTTTTTATTACACCTCCGTCCACCGGCCCTGGCAGGGAGGCCCTGAATGCTGAAACAGGTACCTACAACTCTATCAACTCAGAAATCTAGACAGCAGAGCCAAGTCAGCCAAGGCAACCACAAGCACTGGACTGTGCCAAGAAGATAACGAAGTGCTCTGGCCTCCGCGACAGTGCGTCCTAAAGAGGCAGGAAGGTACTTCTGAGGCTCTCTTTTGAGCGTGTCCCAGACCACTGCTGTGATGCAATGCTGTGGTTTTATTTTAAGCCTAGGGAACTGTCGCCTTATGGGCAAAGGTAACAGATTGCAAACTACAAGCAATACTGTGAAGGGTGTGGTGAGAAAAATCTCAGGACTAGGTGTCAGAGATCCTGGAATGACCAGATTGTGTTCGTATCACTGACTTGGGCAATTCAGGCTACTTCCATGAGCCTCAGTTTCCCCAGATGAAAATAAAGGGGTTTGGATTAGATGATCCATGAGGAGCCTTCCAGCTCAAAA